ATTTGGATTGTAGAGGCAGCATGAGTGACATATTTAGAGGATGAATAACAAGGCCATTTGCCGCCATCATAAAAAAGACGGAGTATACAGGATTAGTATGCTTACTATCGATGATGTTTACAAAAACGGTCGTGTGCTAGCTATTTGGTATTTTAGGAGGTACAAGTATAGGCGAGATTTATGCGATCAGTTTATCATACGGTTTCTACGTGGTTACGAATCTGCAACGTTGTATATATCAATAGTACCGTATTTATAAAGATAATTTACGAGGAGATGTTGTAGGTAAATATGTTCGAGTCTTTAAGGTTGATAAGCGATCATGTGCTCAGTTAGACATCATTTGCTGATACGGCAAGCGAAGCAAGTACGCGGGATCTATGAGTATATCGTGGTATTTAATACATATACGCGAATTATGTGTGGTAGTATTACAAACTTATATGTAGCAACATGTATGTATCAATGCCATAGTCGTTTGTGATGTTTAGGTAGGGGGTGGATGGGCGGGGGTGGTACGGTACGGTTAGTATGCTATCCTGCAAATGGGTAAGGATCGCAAGAAATTACTTAGGATCAGATAAAAGGTCTGTAAGCAGGGGAATCGACCCGAGCTTAGCAACAAGATGCAATATCCGGGAGTGTGTGTAGTGGGTGTGTAGAACACGGCTAGCCCATATACAATGGGGAACCAGACCATGTATCTGTCCAATCGTAAAGCAGCGTCAGGTTAGCAACAGGATTAACATAAGTTGGGTTAAGAGAGAATTTTAACTTAGCCATCAACCCCATAACAGGAGGAAGCATTTTAGTTTTGAAGGATTAACCAGGGGGGAGCAGATTATTGAGGTTAGAGATGGTTGTTGAAGACAGCCATAAGGGGGGTGCACGCCCTGAAGCGCGCTTGTCGCTGCCTAGCACCCATAGTTGCTCATCAGAGGGTCAGATTATAATCTCCCATTGGACTTTATCATAGAAGGGTGTCGTGTTAGGGTGTACAACATTAATAACACTCTTTGATAGTTATCATCTTACCTGAAGATTGAACGTTTGAGAGGATGTGGCATCCCCGGGTGTAGCCATTGCCTCTTGACTGTCTTGTAGTAAACAACTCCTGCATTAATTAGCGCTCGCGGCACTTCTGCCTTCGTGTGCGTTAGGTGTAAGATCACCCTCTTTCAGATATGGAGTGTCAAGTCGTGTGCACGGTTAAGAAGAGTAGCCCGTGTCTTAGCGGAGAAGGGAATGAGGTGTGATTATTGCAAATCGCGTGCTCCGTGGCTTTAGGAGTGCGCAACAAGCAATTGCGGGCAAATCGGGTAGCGCCGGTCGGTCTGAGGTAGATAGCAATGCAAGCTAGCACCATTGTATATAGTTGCGTGTGGATCTAACTTGGAAGTAAGGGAATGGAAGGGGTAGTAAGCAAGGAGTATTTTGGGTATGTTTATGGGAGGGGCTTGATTTAATCTGATTTTGGAGTAGAGGGGGTTCTGTCACTTAGGTTGAGGAGAGAAAATAACGTGTTTGGTCATGGCTTCTGTAGTCGAGTGGTCTGTACGAATGTATGGGTTACGGCGCGCATAATAGGACCCTGTGCATAGTTCAAGGTTTGGCGATAGGTAGTAGTAGGAGCGATCGTATTCTGATTAGTCGTTTTATTGGCTTTGTAGTGCTCATGTTACGACATATTTTTCGTGATGTATTATGTCCCGATTCTACGTGCCAATCTCATCGGAAGTGTATCACGAGTTTCTGTCTTTCTGAAACCTTCTCGGCGGGGTGTTCCTAGAAAAGTCTCGTCGTTTGTGTTTGTCAGTCTGTCACCATATGCATATCTTCGTTTTTTTTGCGGTATGCTTATGCAGTAGTGGGAGCGGTCGCAGTCTAATTAGTAGTTTTATAGTGGGTTTATATTGCTTGTGCTAAGGCGCTTTTTTCGTGATGTAGTTTGTCCTTATCTTTTGTGCCATTCTACTTGGAGATGTATCATGAGTTTTTGTCTTTCTGAAATTTCCTGCAGGGTGTTCCTGAGAAAAGTATTGTCGTTTGTGTATCTTAGTCGGTCGTTATATGCCTTATTTTGTTTTCCTCGTTTTTTTCATTTTTTTCGTTTTTAACCTAGGCTACCAGCCGGGCCGCCCGGGTCCCGGGTGGCCAGCCCATGGAGGTCCCAGCAAAAAAAAAAAAAAAAAAAAAAATTCCAAAAATTCTGAAAACAAACTATGTTATGCAGAAAAATAAACTGAACAACTTTTGCCTCAGGGTCACATCGAAATTCTGCACCAAATTTAAAATAAAAAATAAAATTCAAAAATATTTTATTTATTTTTATTTTTTTTAATTATTTTGGCCCGGCCGGGCAAGTGACCCCGGGCCACTCTGGTAGCCTAGTTCTTAACGTTTTTTTTGTGGTATTCTTTACGCAGTGAGCCAATTTTTTTATTTTTTGTATTTGTGCACGTAACTCTGTCCGTATGTGAGTCCCATAATGTTTATGTTTTGTGTAAAAGTTAGTGTGTAGGTATCAATTTTTTTTTGTATTGTAGAAGTTCTTAGTTGAGTTTCTGAGGCGCCGTCGGCTAAGGATATCATCATTGTGGCAAGCATAATTTTGGGATAGGCTTATTCAAATTGTGAAGGGAAGATGACCAACTTGTAAAAGGAATTAAATTTTTATTCATTTAATTTGAGTCCCATAATTTTTATGTTTTGCGTAAAAGTTAGTACATATAACTGTAGCATTTTTTTGAGTTTCTAAGTCGCCATCGGCTAAGGATATCATCATTCTGGCGAGCATAATAATAGGCTTATTCAATTTGTGAAGGGAAGACGACCAATTTGAAAAATAATTTTTGTATTTGTTATTTGTTATTTTTATAAATTATTTAATTAATCCTTAACTTTATTTACTTACTATCTAGGCTACGAGAGTGGCTTGGGTCCACTTGCCCGGCCGGGCCAAAAAGTATAAATAAAAAAATAAAAAAATATAAAATAATTTTCAATTTTTAATTAAAATTTTTATTTTAAATTTGGTAAAGAATTGCGATGTGACCTTGAGGCAAAAGTTGTTCAGTTTATTTTTCTGCATAACATAGTTTTTTGTCGGATTTTTTGGATTTTTTTTCTTTTTTTTTTGGCTGGGACCTTCCGTAGTTCTTGCACGGCCGGGCCGCCCAGGAAAATAGGGTGACCCGGGCGGCCCGGTTGGTAGCCTAGCTTACTATTTTATTATTTCTATTTTTTATTTTTATTTAATTATTCTATTTTATTATTTTATTTATTTTATTTTCTATTTTTATTTTTGATTTTTTACTTTTTACTTTTCACTTTTTATTTTTTACCCATATGTTATATTTTATTTTATTTAAAAATAAAAAGCTGTTATTTTTTATTATTATTTATTTATTTATTATTATTATTATTAGTTTTTTTCCTAGGCTACCAGCCGGGCTGCCCGGGTCCCGGGTGGCCAGCCCGTGCAAGGATTGGGGAAGGTCCCAGTAAAAAAAACGAAAACAAAAAAAAATCCAAAAAATCCGAAAAAAACCTATGTTATGTAAAAAAAAAACTGAACAACTTTTGCCTCAGGGTCACATCGAAATTCTTCACCAAACTTAGAATAAAAAATAAATTTTAAAAATAATTCTTTTATTTTTATTATTTTTATTCTTTTTGGCCCGGCCGGGCAAGTGACCCCGGGCCACTCCGGTAGCCTAGTTTTTTTCGTAATTATTATTTATTTTAATCTACAATTTGCGAGGATGTGGGTCCTCCGCAGGCCTAAGGGGCCCCCTGCAACAAATGTGCCCGCCCTAAGTGAAGGCGGGCCTAACAAATCACGAGAGGCCCTTGGCTGTCAATTTCGTATTTGGGGTCCAAGCAGTTTCGTAGCGCCAATTGGTTGAAGGGAAACACAGGCCAAGCAGCGTGGAAATTCCCAGGCCTTCTAGGCCTTTCCAAAAAGCACAGGCCCTGGGCAAGATTCGCAGCCTCATACACAAACAGTTGGAGGCCCAAC